AAAAAAATATTTCTCATAATTTTACATCAGATGAAATGTTTTCAAACTGACTCCAAGAGGGGCATTTGTCAAGAAAAGCTTTTTGTTCCAAACTTGCTTAAAGAGTAACTTATAGTATCTTATATTTTTCAGTCCTCCATCCTATGAGTCCATTACAGAAAATTCAGCTCAAGTTTTACTCTCATTACTTTATAGCCTTTTACTCAGTGACAAAATAAACAGAAAAGAAAACAAAAAGAGGAGGAAAATCAGCTTAATGGTGTTAATCATATGTAAAGGCCGTGCTTTTATTTTGGCAGTGTCGGTCCCGGAAGTGTGGCGTCTCCTGCTTTCTCTGTTGTAAAAGTTTACGGATAAATTCGGGGCTTGTTTTACCGCGAAACGTTTTTATAAAATTAAAGACATGAAGAAGAGGTTTCACATCGACCTGGACGATTCTGCTTTCACTAAAGAAAGAACACCGGTCTGTATTTTGATATAGCTACTGGCTGTGTAGCTAACTGGCTAGGCCTTCAACACGTTAAAAGAGCCTTCAATTTCAGATGTCTTTCAAAATAGTTTATTAAAGACAATACTGTGAAAAATATGCCAAATAAATTCTCATATTGTTATTTGAATGTTTTCCAGCCAAAGCCGCAGTTTCAGCCTTCATCCAAAGGACAACAAAACACAACCGCTCCAGCTACGTCTACCCCAGTATCAGTTACAAAATCATCTGTGCAGCCCCTCTCCTATGCAGATTACATTGTCCAGACTAAAACTACAACAGCTGCTGCTCCACAGACAGATGCTCCTTCTAAACTGGTCAGGGCCGAAGGATCTGGAATCAGCAGTCTGCAGCATGGGGGCTCTGAAAATGGTCAAGACTGTGTTAAAGGGACTGAAGTTCAGCCCGAGGAGGTGAAAAGGAATGATGCAAAACTCGAGACTGCTGCTGAGGATAGCAGCAGTCTGAAGTCAGATCCAAGTGTCATCCAGGGTCCCAAACCAGTGGGATCTGGGAGCAGCATTATTGTCAGTTCTCGACAGGTTAGTTTGGACTTGTAAATATATTGGACTCACTAAAGTGCAATATATCTCTATTTATGTGCATTAATAATTATATGCTTGTTGATGAGTGTCAGTGTTCATTTATTAATTGTTTACATGTTTGTTTTTGCTTCTGCAGAGGGGTAATCCCATTCTAAAGTTTGTGAGGAGTGTGCCCTGGGAGTTTGGAGATGTTGTTCCTGATTACGTCTTGGGACAGACAACTTGTGCTCTTTTCCTCAGGTGGGTGGCTTTAGGGTGCTATGGAGTAAGCATTATTTTTTCCTCGCTAAGATTGTTTCTAAATTAGAGGTGGAGGGAAACTGTGCAGCAGCAATATTTTGTTAAATATTGTGATATCAGAAGTAATAAATTCACCTATTGTTCAGAATAACTCACAGTTTAAATCTTTCCTGAAGGTTTTAAGTGACCAGTACAACTGCTGTTTTTAAACTGGATTTTGTTTCTGCATTATGTTTCCTTATTTTGTTTAGATATTTTGGTGTTAATTTCTAACCTTTATCCTGCCTGATATTTCTGACTCTTCCTTCCTATTATTGCATTATAAACAATACTTTCCCATTATTGCGTTTCATTGACGCACTGACGTTGCCATGATGAAGAATTGAGATCTATTGTGCAGCTCTGATCTAAAAGGAAAATAACTTATAGGAAATATGGAGTGGTGTTTTTCTGTTTAATTTGTGAAGTTTGTTCTAACGCTCGTTCTGTTGTATGCTTTGTGATTTTTCTCTTTTTCATGATGGCGGCTTTGGTCCTGATTTGAAGCCTTAGGTATCACAACCTAAATCCAAACTACATCCATGACCGTTTAAAGCAGCTTGGAAGTACATTCACCTTACGTGTGTTGCTGGTTCAAGTTGATGTGGTTAGTAATGTTTTATCACTGTCACAGTAGACTTGCGTTTAAGTTTGATACATCACCTGCAACCAACACTATTATCAGAGAAGAATGGGTCGTAGTTTGCTGAATCTTTATATTTATCTGTATTTATCATTTTGAATTTGTACTCTGTACATTTTAAAATGTACAGAGTAACATCAGTACATTTCAAAGTATGCTTTTGTCCTAGTAGTCAATATTACTTTTCTTACTTATGTAATTTACTCTTACAGTAGATTCCAGATTTACTTTAATGCTTGTCTGTGTTTTACTTTACAATTACATGCTATTTAAATCAGTTTTAACAGAAGACTAACTGTAATGAGAGCTCCCCTTATAGAACTGTTCATCTGTGAAGTGTATCTTGCTTCCGCAGAATTGGGTTTGCTTACAAATGTACAACTGAAGTGTGCAGCTGGTTGTTATTTTGGCATCATACGCAACAAAAAATAACAGATGTCATGAAATCGGCCTATTTGAAAAATAAGCCTACTGTTTTACCATTTAATGTAAGAGTTCATTATTAAGAATAAAGTATAATATCAAAGTATAAATTTATTTGTTTCTATATGTACAGAAAGATCCTCATCACGCTTTAAAGGAACTGGCTCGCATCTGTGTCATGGCCGACTGCACTCTTATCTTGGCTTGGAGGTAAAATTAACAAATGACACACATCAGTGTTCAGAGAAACTCTTTTAACTTCTTCAGCACATTTAAATTGTATAAAGAATTGATAAAGCTAAGTTTGTTTGTTTTTTGTTATATGTCACCGAATTATGTGTTAGCATGACCACTCTAAGATGGCCTTTGTTTAACAGTTTTTAAATAATTGCATATACTTTAAATAAACTTGTGAACCACAGTTGAGCACTCTTCTCTCTTTTTTTGCATAATATCAAATTATCAGTCCAGAAGAAGCAGGACGTTACCTTGAAACATACAAGTCATATGAGAAGAAGCCAGCAGATCTTCTGAAAGAGCAAGTTGAAAAAGACTATCTGTCAAAGGTCTGTTTGTAGGTTTGTTTTGTTTTGTGTTAGAAATTTGATTATTCTGTACATTTCTTCCCTCAAAAAATAGGCTAATATTTTTTTATTTAAAAATAGATTATACAAAACTGAAATACGGTTGAGTCAGCTTTGTACCAGCACAGAAATGTATTTTTGTGTTTCTTTAAAGGTTACAGATTGCCTGACTACTGTGAAGTCTATAAACAAAACCGATGCCATAACTTTACTATCCACTTTTTCTGTGAGTATTTCTGCAAAACAACTATGAGGCCGTCCTGAATTGACTTATTTCCACAAAGGGTTACTCACACAGAAGCCACAAAAGAATAGTTAAAACAGACAATATAAAATTTAACCCTTTTGTTTTTTTTAAATCTAAGCTCAGAAATCTACAGAGTGCTCGGTAATTTGTTACCATTTATTGTCAGTCTTCTCAGCTGGATGTTATTAATTGTAAAGAAATAAAAGATGTATCTTAATATGAAATGTTTTATAAAATGACTTGATTTTTCCATTTTAACATTTTAGCTCATTAACTGTTTTGTTTCAACTGTTAACTCGACTTAGATTGAATGCTGCAGGGACTATACCAATAACATACAGTGCTTTCTACTTCTTGTCCAGTCTGTAGAGGGAATCATCAATGCCTCTAAAGAAGACTTGGTTCTCTGTCCGGGCCTCGGACCACAAAAGGTGAAGACATATGAATCTTAAGGAAGGCTCATAATGATTATGACAAGCATTTATTGAATATTGCTGATTTACCATTTGTGTTGACAGGCGAAACGTCTTTATGATGTCCTACATAAGCCTTTTCTGAAGTCAAGAACAAACAACAGCTGACATGGAAAGAATTGAAGAAAGGAATTTGTCCCATTGAATAACCTTAACTAAGACACAATTTAAAGTACTTAATTATAAGCACAAACTATTTTGATTTAAAAAAGTTATGTGAACCACTTTATGCTGTTGTATGTTTTGGGGACTATGTTTTTACAGCAATAAATGATATTTTTCTACAGTATATCCTCCCCTTTGTGTATTGATTGCTGAGTGATGTAGTGCCATAAAAAACCTATTTGGCCTCTTTAAAATTTCTTCTGTTTTTAATTTTTTTTTCACGCTTAGCTGTTTTAGATCATCTAACTGCCAGAAGCAGCAGAGAAACAAGACCATCACATTACCACATTGTTTAACATTTTACGCTAGATAGTGTGACACACCTTTTCAGAAAGTTCCACTTTTGTTGCTTGAGAATTCATCCACGGGTGTCATGTTAGCCCAGTTTCTTATTGCTGAAACATGACCACTTGACCTTAATTGAGCCAAGAAAAGTCTGTGGTGCTTAAGATGTAGTTACTTTAGTAATATTGTTTAGTTATTTAGAAATATTGGTTGGCCAGACACTATTAAGAAAATCCATTACTATTCCATGCAGTCTCAATTTGTAGATAATGGCTTCCATCATGGGTTATTGGTTATTAAGCTTTGTAAGCATTTATCTAGGCTGATAAATGTTAGTGATTATATGTCTAGCAGTAATCAGGGCTGGGTGTGGCGAGTACAATTAGCCCAAAAAAAATTAATCACATTTAAATCATTATTTAACAAGATGGCAATTACTTTCTCCATATTAGACATGTTTAGACAGTTTTTTTCTACTTTATAAAAAAATGAGGCATTGCAGAGTAAAAATATTCATTTTAAAAGTTAAATATCCTTTCCATGTAATCAGGTAATTGATTTTGTGGGAGCTGAAAGTGCTTTTTATGTAAATGTGTCTTAGTTTACCTTGTATGTTATGAAACAGCGAGATCCAAAATCCTAGAAAACGCAAATGTCATGTTGTCAAATCGTTCAATTTTAAACGAACACAACTATTGTCACGAATTAAATTTTATTGTGTGCGTTAAAATAAATGTGGATGCTTTGGATTATTTTCAGTTATCCGACATGATAGGGGCTGGGGGGAAAGAGTTTCAAAATTTCCGACAGCCGTGAAGGCTCCCCAGTCAACGTAAAAAAACAGGAAGTGCTTTCCGCACATACTTCTGTTAAGTGAATGAGTTTTGCCGCTTGTTTCGCTGTAGTAACATATGACTGTTTTGACTGTTATAAAAGCTGGTTCCGAGCTTAAAATAGATTGTATTAAAAGGCAAAATAAATTCTTTGTCCAACCTTCCTGCTTAAAACATGCAGACGGAGAAAGTAGAAGAAGAGGAGGATGCTCCTGAAGAGTATGTTGCCCTGTGTGATTTCACTGCGAGCGGTTCTGAGCAGGTTATTCTTCTGCCAATCAAACGTCTTCTAAGACTTTGCATTAAAACTGGTTGCATGAGTATGAACCATTGTGCTCCGTTTTGTTCCACAGTTGAGTTTCATCACAGGAGAGAAGCTGCTTGTGCACAACAAGTCTTCAGCAGATTGGTGGTGGGCAGAACTGCAGGGGGTGATCGGTTATGTTCCTGCCAGCTATCTGCGCTTGGATGGTGCTGAGGAGGGGGACGACGCCTCCTTGGAGGACCCGTGGCAGGATGACGAATACTTCGGCAGCTATGGGACACTGGTTAGAAACATAGAACTGTCATTTTCTCCAAGTTTCACAAACTCACTTAATACTCTAATAAAATCAATCAACCTTGCATCCTGCGGCAAGACTCCCACAGAGCCTTAAACATAGCAGGACCAACTAAATTTGTTAGTTGATCCGGTGTGAAAAGACACAGCAAATATATGAAAAAGTATGGAAGGTTATGTTGTGGTTAGATGAGGTCTAACCAATACTCCTAAGTGTCTCATTATGCTGTCGAGATGCTTCTTTTTAGCAGGCACAAGGAGGCTGGTTAGAGTTGGTCTGATAATAGAAGCATCTCAATAAAGGCCAGTCTGGCTAGAAAACCTGTCAGAGGATGAAAAAAGATTTCAGACAGGGGTCAAAGGTTTACTTTCAGGTATGCCAAATACCCTAAAAATACTGTTGAACCTGAAATAACATGGTTTCCATCAACTGATATCCATGCGTAAAAATGTCCCACTCGAAATCCAGGCCAAAGTCAAGCAGAGAATTTATGTTTATGGATACTATCACGTATAGCCATTTTGCTAGGTTAAATAGGTAAAAACGTTAGTCTTGAAATATAGCAAGCATGTACCACAAGAGACTTGGCATAAAATGAGGTTGTAGTATCATCTCTGGAAGCGCTATATACAAGTGCACAACACACTTTCTTACTTTGTTGCAAACAATTTCATCCATCCATTTTCCTACACCCTTATCCCTAGTAGGGTCGGAAGGAGCTGGTGGCCTTCTCTAGCTAACGTTCCGGGTGAGAGGCAGGGTACACCCTGGACAGGCCACCAGTCTACCAGTCACTCACACACACCAAGGGAGAATTTAGAGAGTCATGTTTTTGGACTGTGGGAGGAAGCCAGAGTACCCGGAGAGAACCCGGGAATTGAACCCAGGATCTTCTTGCTGCAAGGCAACAGTGCTACCAACTGTGCCACTGTACAGCGTTAGTTAAAATTGATTCTACTTAACGGTTGCATGACAAAACTTTAAAAAACGCTTCTATGAGTTAGATACGTTTGCAAGATATTTAGCTTCAAAAATTGAATGAATAATCAGATACATTTTCACATGAGTGTGTAAATGTGTGTCCCAGTCCTAAGCCACCTAACCCTCGGAGCTGTTACTTTTAAAGTGCTTCAACATGTCAGTTTATGGGGGACTTAAAGTGACATGAAAGGAGAAACAAAATAAACCTTCACAACAGTTCTTGATGTTTGGTAATGCAACATCATTAAAGAAATTGAAAGTATGTCACACCTACAATGCATTTGAAAGTCAAGGCTCCTGTAAAAATGCAAATACTAGAAACTCCAATAAATAATCAAAGCATTCACCAGGATGCTCTTGCTGACAGATGCATTTGTGCAGATTTTTTCTCAACATTATTGACACTTTTGTTAGGCACATTTTGTTTGGGAGAAGAACATTACAATTTATTGCCAATAGTTTTAAAAGAGATTTGTTAGGAATATTTATAAATAAACTGATATAATGCAACTATATGAGATAATGCAACTATACAAAAAAAACTGTAATCACACTATTGGGTTTGTGAGAATAAAGTCTGGGATTATATCTATTGTGTATCGGCATCACTGATTATGGTTATTAATCTTCATTAAACAATTTATAATATAAGATATTTTGGTTGTACTTTGCACAGACATAATTCTAGGACCAAGACAGAACAGTGAAGGGCATGGTACAGAGACAAAGACTTTATTAGAAATCTGTCTCCTACCTCAGACCCACAGATGGGCCCTGTATAGATTTATCAATACACGTTGCAGTTAGACTGCAGATATTCAAGACCCATGATCGGGGTTGTAGATTCTAATTTGCACAAACTTCAGTCAGACAAAGGATCGATGAGCCAAACTGACTGGATTAGCATCCTTGCTGAAACAAGCCCTCTGCTTTCTGCTCCTAATTCAGGACAGCTTACATAAAAGCACAAATTACTTTCTGCTAAATAAATGTTCATATAAATACAGCATATGTTTGTGTGGCTTAACTGTGAAAAACTTTTAATTAAGTTACTACATAATTTTTTATACGTATCCACAGGCTGCAGTCTTGCACATAGCAGTTATTTGATCTGTTTGTCACACAGAGGCTTCACCTGGAGATGCTGTCGGACCGGAGCCGCACCGAGACGTACCGGCAGGTTATTGTCAGCAACAGCGCTTCACTTAGGAATAAGGTGGTGATGGACCTCGGCTGTGGGACTGGCATTATCAGCATGTTCTGTGCTCAGCTGGCAAAACCTTCTATGGTAAAAACAGCCGATAAGTTCTAGCTGAACACAGTTTGTTTCGTCTTCTGAGGGTTTCAAATATTTCAAATTCTTCAAGAATCCATTTTCCTTCCTTCGGATATTATATATTTTGCTGTATGTAACTACAAACAATGGATTTATTGGAATTTTTATGATGGGCCAACCCAGTGCATAGTTGGGAAGTGAAAGTAATATAATTTACGACTTTTCTTCAATCCGAGAAGTGTAACACTTATATGTATGAACCCAATTTCCAGGTTTGCAGAGCCCCTTTTCAAATAAAATACTACATGTATTTGGGTTTTATTTCTGTTAGCTTTGCAGGCCTACAGACTGAGGCTTTTGCCCACCAAATAACTTTAAATAACTAAGCTCAGTCAGATTAGATCTGAAGCATCTCTAAACATTGGTTTTTGAAGTCTTGAATAAAATTCTAAATTAGATTTGGCTATAAGCCTTTCCAACACATAAATATGCTTTGTTGTGGGCCATTTTGTTGTAGGTTTGTTTTGATCTCATTTGTATCCAGAGAACTTTTTTTGAGGTGTCCCCTACATGGCTTGTGACTACCTTCTGTGATTAATGCTGTCCTTGCCAGGCCTGTCAGTTCAGATGGATGACCATGTCTTTGTAGGTTTGCTGTTGTACCATACTCTTTGTATTTTATTATCATAAATTAAGCAGCGCTCTATGGAATTATCAAAAAAATAAACTGAGCACACACATCGTTCAACCAGACATAAACCGATAGACATATTTTGTTTTCAAACTCCACTGAAGTTTATTTCACACTTCAGGTTGCAACAAAACACACTACAAACGACCTTTACAGTGAAACACTTTTGTGTAACTTGTTTGTTTTTTTCATTCATCCATACATGCCACTATATTCTTCTGAACAGATCCTTAAACAAAATCTCCTGCTAGCAATTAAAACCAAGACTTTTGGTTTTGTGTAGAGGTTCGACTGAAGGTTGGAATAAAAAAAAAAGAGGAAAAAAGGTTGTTGAGTAATATTTACCTAGTTCTGTTTTTGTAGAATTTGTAGATTTACCTAGTTACTCCATTGCAGGGGGGGGAAATACAATGGCCCCTCCACTTCTCCAGGGGGTGCGCCCCACTCTTTGGGAACCACTGCTTTAAGGTTTACAATAAGGGTATCCCTGCTGTGCTCCTTGGTCATAGTTTGTTTACTAAGTAGTAATCACACAGTAGTTGTATTGTATTGAGATTACACAATGATTTACTCTTTTTACTAATTAGGTTGGCTCTAAAGGCAGTTTGGGAGTGTTAGGTTTGATATAAGGGCACACAATTAAAGATTATTAAATACATCACCCCACCATGTGTTTAACAAATTTATATGTAAAAACCTTTCAAAACCATGCCTTATTTTTCTTCTATTTCACAATTATGCACTGTTCTGTGTTGATCTGTCACAACAAAAAATTAATTGACTCCGCTAAACGGTTCCTTCTCCAAGATCCTACATGTGCTTCACATTATTCATCAATGTAGTTATACCTCCATCTCTTGGACAAGCACTGTTACTACTGCAGAGACATAGCTGGGTGTTAACACTGCTCTAATATTTGGTGGTTCTGTAGGTGTATGCTGTAGAGGCAAGCTCCATGGTGGAGCACACCAGACAGCTGGTGAAGCAGAACGGCTGTGAGGAGGTGGTCACTGTGCTGCAGGGGCGGGCAGAGGAGCTTGAGCTGACAGAGCAAGTGGACATCCTGGTGTCTGAGTGGATGGGCAACTGTCTACTGGTAATTATTAAACCTTCAGTGTTGCTTGTTATAACATTTTCTGTAATGTGCATAAACTCTGTAACTTCCAAATTTAGTGTTTATTGTTTGGGAGTGATTTTAGAAGCAATGTGTAAAGTCGAGCTTGTAGACTTTCAATGATCTGTCCAATGAACTAAAGTTAAAAAAAAAAAGTTAAAGACTTTTATTTAGCTCAGATTAATGTACTTTCCTTATTTGCTGAAGTAAACTCGGGGTCTGAAACAGCAGTCCTTGAATGCCGTTTTCCTGCACCATGTGTCTGGGTTGCACACATTAATCAAATCATTTGTTCATTAGTGATTCTCTTTAGAACAGGGGCCACAAGTCCAGTTCTGGAGAGCTGCTATCCTGCAATATTTCGATGCATTCCTTCTGTAACACACCTAAATGCAATGAACGGCTTAGTGCTGGGTCTCTGCAGAACTGAATGATGTAATGACTCTTGAGTCAGGTGTGTTGGAAAAAGGACTGACTTGGCTCTTGGTAACGGCTTGTGATCGTTGGAGTAGACAAAGAATCGCTTAAGTGTTTACTAGTCCTCCAGAATGCTCTAGTTCGCTATTTACATGAGGACTCATTTAACACTTACATTTATGTGTTTTGCACATCTTTTATTTAGATCTCTCTTAATAGCTTATTATGCTGTTCTTATTGTTATCAAAATCAAAGTTTGTGTTTTTCAATGGGCAAAACCAAGAACTGCAAGAAATCAAGCTTGTTGAGTTGTTGGCCCCTTGCCTTTGGAACAGTTTCCCTTCTTGCATTTAGTTGAATCACTGATGATAATTTATTGCATTGATCCTCTTGTGGGTATCTTTTTATGTTGACATTTATTGAGTCTTTAAGAGATATAATAGATTAATTCATTTGATGTTGCTTTCATAGCTTTTATTTTACAGTCTTTCTTTGGTCTCACCTCTATTTTAAAGATTGAAATATCTCTAATTTTTGTACTTTCTGCTGATCCAGTTTGAGTTCATGGTGGAGTCGGTCCTCTTGGCCAGGGATCGCTGGCTCCGTGATGGTGGTGTAATGTGGCCTTCCTCAGCAGCTTTAGCTCTGGTTCCATGTCAAGCCGACAGCTACTACACAGAGAAAATGGCTTTCTGGGAGCGACCGTATGGCCTGGACTTCACACCACTACAGTAAGAGCCACTGGTCAGCTGTGGAGCTGAACATTATCTTTTTATCTACTTTTGTTGGCATTGCTCACTCCTCATTTTCAGAGTTTGTACACAAATGTGTTGGTGGTAGATTGATGTAGTGAGGTTTGAGATTTCTAACCTAGTGGGATGAGTCCTGTGGCACCAAGTGGAGGGGGGCCTGTAAAGCAAATCAGACTTTTAACTTCGCATCACTTACAACAATACGCTGTTTGTTTTTCTAATAAACTGTTCAGAGTCTGAAAATGACTCAATTTCAAACTTTGCAAGATACAGAGCCAAACACTTCTGCAGGTTCTTCATGATGGATAGCAACGTCTTTTTTTAATGAAAGTCAGTGAAAATTAGATACTTGATTCAACAAAAGGCTCATGAAACAAAATGAAACAAGGAAAAATAACATGAATGAGCAAGAAAAAGGTTCAGATATAAATTTAAAAATAGATTTTTAAGGAAACCAAAAAAATAATGCACAGTAATGACATTAATGGTATTTATTTCTGTGACAAGAATTATAAACTTGTTACAAAATTTTTTACTTTGTTTCAAACAAAGTAAAAACGGTAATTAGGTATTGGTAATAACCTAATTACATTTTATTCAAGTCTGTTGAATCTGAGACAGTTGGAGAAGTAGTGGAACGCTGGCCTTGAACACTGTCTGCGTATGTGCTCCAGAGGGAGCTAAAGATTATTCTTTCTGGTTTCTGTTGTGTGATGCCTTGGTTTTTGAAGAGGTTATTGTTGACTTACCCAATTAAAAAAAGGTAAAAGAAAAATTGGGTGGAACTTTAAGCTTAGAAGGAACTGTGTGCTTTGGACATATCATATCATGCGCAGGGTTAAGTATGGGGAAGGATGTGTGATTCTGTGGGCCTGTTTCTCCTCCAGAATCCCTTGGAAACCTGTTAGAGTGGATGGCAGCAACACCCTCTACTTGCAAAAATGTGCATTAATTTTAAATATTTTAAACAATTTCTAGCAGAAATGCTACTGGATAGACTTTGTGTGTCAATATTTATTCAGAAGCTGAGCATGAAGAACTTGAGCTGACCCAAATGTCTTAATGATTCTAGTTTATTCACCTATAAAGTCAGATCTTTATTGCAGCTTCATAAAACACTTTGAGTAAGGGTTATAAAATAAACTGAGATGCAGAAAAGAACATGTATTTCATGACAAGGAGAAGTGAAATAAAATATACATTTGTAATTATTACATTTGTAATTACAATAATGACTGCTGCAATTACAAAAATATGTAGCTCCCGAAAGAACTTTAGAAATAGTAGAAGTAAATCTTATTTTGTGTCCTGAAGAAAATCATTCATGCATACATACATACAACAGATCATACTGTTTCATGTATTATAAATTCATCCTTCAACCATCTTTAATGCTTTCTGTAGGAGCAGATTCATTCCTTTTTTGGCTCCTGATTGATGTCTCATCCCTGCAGGCCTTTAGCACAGCAGGAGTTCTTCACCAAGCCAAAGTTCAGCCATCTCATTGACCCTGAAGACTGCCTTTCCGCTCCCTCTGATGTCATCTGCCTTAACATGTACACTGTACAAGTGAGAGACCTTGAGGTATCAAATGGACTTCTCTATCACAAGAGACTGTAGTTCTGTTTATGTTTTGATACTAATGGAGTAGAGTTTCATTTCTCAGGAAATGAAGGGTGAGTTTCAGTTTTGTGTGAAGAAGCCTGGAATTTTCCACGGATTCACGGCCTGGTTCACTGTTCAGTTTGAAAGCCTGGAGATGGGAGGAGCAACAGTGGAGCTCAACACCGGACCAAATGCAGAGTAAAAATCAAACTGCAACTATGCTAAATAAAAGTATCTAATTCTATTTAAATTGCAGCTATACTACATAAAAATATAGTCACACGTTTAAAATCCATCAATACATTAGAATATAATCTAGTTTCAATAATTTCATTTGAAAATTTTCTTTTACATTTGCTGAATGCTTTGAAATTGAGGAAGGGAAATGCTCAGGCCCATTTTCAAGATACATCTGTGTGTATTCCCTCATCTTGTGAGTTTCTCTCAAAATCATTAAAAGGCTTTGCTTTGCAATGTTTTAAGGGCTTATTCGCCTTTTCTACCAAATCTTAATTTGTAGATTTACGTTGTATTCCATTAGATACCAATTAGATACATGAGCTGTATACCCATTGAATCCATTGAGTTGTATCCAACCCAGTGGATACAACATCCTATGAAGTTACCAATTTTAGCAACTATATTTTTGTGGGGATTAGCCTTCATGTGGGTTTAATAACTTTCTGCTGGACAACTGTCAAGGCAGTAGTCGTCTCTATTATTATGTAGGGCATAATATATCATTTGTTTCTGATCTGTTAATCCTCAGTCCAACCCATTGGAAGCAGACTTTGTTCATGCTGGACAGGCCGATCCAGGTGTACGCCGGAGACTCAATCCATGGAAACATTGTCCTGCGCAGAAACCCAGTGTGGAGACGCCACATGACTGTTACGTTGCACTGGAACATCAACAGCAACACGGACGACTTCCAGGCAAATATCTCACTACACATCCATATTCATAAATGTGCTGTTGCTTTCATAACTTTTGTTTACTTTCTCTTTACATTTATAGGCTGGAACAAAAAGTTTCCCCATGTGGAGGTGACTGGTTTATGGCGAATCAACAGTAAACCAGTTATATATGTCCACTCTTTGCCCATGAGCTGCTGCAGCCCAATAATCAGAAGCGGTTACTGAAAATGTGTCATCCAGGGCGCTACCTGGTAGGCCAGTTGAGTCTTTAGTGATGTAACTGATCACTACAGGAACAGGTGATCACACAACAGGTCATTCTTTAAGAGCAGCATGTGACTGAAAAGAAGAAACGGAGGAGTCACTGATGGAGAAAAATAGGACTCATTAAAGAGTAGCAAGATACTCTTTCAGGTATAACAGAAAAATAATGTTTTATTTTTTATTATACTCAAGTTTTACAATTGCTTAAAAAAACTTAATTTACATTTTCACTCATTTAACTGATACTCAATTACTTAAACACCTAAAGATACAAATATTTTTGTTAATTAGCTTTTCATGTTAAAGGAAGCAATATATTAAGAATTGGTGGATTACCAGTAACAAGCTAAAGTAATAATTTAAAAAGTCAAAACACTCCTGTTCAGGTGCACTACTAATCTGCTGGATAAAAATTGTCTTTTACACTTTGACAATATTTGCATAAAACACAAGTCAGGGTTTGATAACTAAAGCCAGCAACTTTATAAAGGTAAAATCGTTATAAAAATACAGCTTGTAAACTATGACGGGCAGCATGTATTACTTTTGTTACTCCACAAAGAATGTCAAAAAAGTTCTACACCTCACCATTACATTTAGTTGGTGAAACTTATAAAGATTGTGCATTTCCACTGTAGGAACCTTTCCCAGGAACTAGAGTATTCATATTTTGGGGCTTACTATTGTTACTGCAGTTAATGCAGGGTTTATTTTTTTAGCCCCTGTATTGTCTATATATTCTGGTAATTTTAAAACATAAAAAACAGTAATTGGAATTTTTGTTTGTCAACACATTTAAATCCATCTACATGTGTTGTATGTCAGTGTTTTACACTGTAGCTGATTTTAATGCATTATTCAAATCTCATCATCTTAATGAAAATAAGTAAACGATAAGGAGGTAATGCTGTCAGAGCTATTTTGTTATGAGTTTAACACTTTTTATGTGTTTAAGTTTCAGCATTCAAGCCAAAAAGATCGGCATCTCAAGAGTCTATCATTAAATTTAAACATAATGAAACAGACTCATAGTGCTACTTTATTTGTTTATGGATTATCACAATCTGAGTTTTATTTTATTTCATCTGTTGTGTTACTCATGTACTGAGTATAAACTGCACAGTGAGCATGGCACAAGGTTTGTAATCTTTAGCTTTTAGCTCACACTGGAAATGCACAAATCTGACATTAAAAAACAAACACTCCATTAAATAATGTTCCACATGCTCAAAATAAAACATATTTTTGCTCAGACCTGTATTTAAAAATGGAAATAATAAATATATGGTATAGATAACATATTTGTAATTCTATTTTTTTCTGTTGCAAAAGAAAGAATCGTTCCTTTGCTATTTTTAAATAAAACAAACAATTATTGTTTTATATTTTCAAATATTCTTATCCTTAATTCTCTTACCATGCTATCTTATATTGGGTCGTACCTTTTACAAAAATGTTGTATAGCTTTGCACACATAATAAAACTAGATTATGAATTGAGATGAAAGTAAGACATATATTCTGTGTGCACAAATATTAATCAAGTAATAGGAAAAATGTAAACTGGAGAGGATTTGAGAAGAACCAAGAGAAGCTACCAAAAACTACATTTATCTTGTATTTCTATTATATTCCATAACTGCATCCTACATAGAGGACATAGGAAGAAAAATGTACAGTGAAGAAAAACAGTCCACCATGTTGGATTAACCGAGATTAACTGAGGTATAAGATGCTCAGACATGACCAAGGTAAGGAAGGCTAAAACCTGAACATCAAGGAACAAGAAAAATAATCTGAAGCATATGGATTACGCCAAGAAATATCTGAAGACAGATTTTTCAAAGGTTTTATGGCTTGATAAAATGAGTGACCTGATGGACCTGGTGGCTGGTCCATAAGGTCATGGGGCACAGAGCTCCAAATCAGATGTCAAGGTGGAGCTCATTATTAAAGATGAGCTCGTTGGATCTTATACGCCATTTTTTTTTCAGACACTTTCTTCAGGCAGCAGTATAGGAAGAAGTCTACATATTTCAAAGAGACAATGATTTTTATGCAGGATTAAGGCTAGCCACAAAAGGTGTTAAAGATGGAAAACTGCTGACAGATGTTCCTCACCTCACCTGTGGGCAGTTAAACAAGAAATGCATAGTGAAGAAAAACTCTGCCATGTTGGATTAACCGAGAACACTGTATGAATGAATACTGTATGCTGATTAATAAAAACAAGGTTTGCCTGATAATTGTGAACACTGTACTTGCATGACTCTGGTATTCCACTTTAACTCAGCGACATCAGTGTTATACGTTTTCTCTTTAGCATCTATTTCTGTCATGTTTATCATACCCACAATGTTTTGTTTACAAAAATTGTTCACTTGGACAGTATTTCTCATCAAGTAAATAACAGAAGCTTGTGGGATACAACTACCTATTTTCTCATTTGTAAACATTTATGCAAAATGCTGAAGTTGGCACCAACGTGTTGCACCTGTTTGCTGAAGCAGAAGTGATTTGAAGCATCTCCTCTTGGTTAAACATCATGCTCAGTTTTTATTGTGACGTGTGTGTTCATCTCCGAGGTTAACTCCTGTTTGGGCAAGCTCTCTGGGGAAGAAGGCCTGGAGAGCGGAACAAACTGTGGAGGCTTAACAACTTCGTATTTAACACAATTTTTTTCCTTTTTCTGCTTCAAGTGTTTGTCACAGTGGTTCACGAACGTTTCCAACTTGACGAAGGTCTTGTTGCATACTTTGCAGTGATAAGGTCGCTGGCCTTTTTTTAGGCGTATGTGAAGCCGGATGTATGAAGACCGTACAAACGTGCGGCAGCAGACGCCGCACTTAAGATCCACCATGTTGCTTTGCGCTTCGTGTGGCTTGATGACTGGAGGCGCAGGTGTAGAAATGACAGCAGGAACAGGTCCGGCGGCCTCCAGAGCCTTGTGGGAGAGCAGGGTGGACATAGAGCGGAAGCCCGCACCACACTGTTCACATTTGTAGGGCCTCTCACCAGTGTGGAGTCGGATGTGTGCCAGAAGCCCGGCCTTCTGGGTGAATGACTTGCTGCAGTAGGTGCATTTAAAAGGCTTCTCTCCTGTGTGCAGTCGACGGTGGGTCTTCAAGTGTGAGGCGCGCCCAAAGTTCTTCCCACACTCTGGGCATTTAAATGGTTTATCTCCACTGTGGATCACCTTGTGAGCCATCAAGTGGGAGGACTGATGGAAGAACTTACCGCAAATGTTACACCTGAACTTCCTTTCTTTGTTGTGGGAGGTGAGGTGAAGACTCAGGTGGGCAGATGAGATGAAGGTTTTGTTGCATATGCTGCAGCTGTGAGGGTCCAGTCGAATATGCCGGTGGGCTCGCCGGCCGTTAGGGGGACTGCTGCTGCCTCCGGCCTCACAGGATGGACATTTGAATGGAGCATCTCTGCTGTCTGTCTGCTTCTGCTTAGCTGATTCGGAATCAGAGTGGGAGTCCAGCTGTGGGGGGCTGAAACTGCACCCACACTCTGAGCAGAGCCTGGACTCCTCCTGCTGCTGGTCATCGGTTTTATCCAGCTGCTGGTCATCGGTTTTATCCAGCATCCTGATACTTACAACCACACCAAGGAGGGACTGATAACCTGTAAGTGAAATAGAAACACACAACTAGATTAAAACTAATGCAGCTTTTAGTTGTGTTTTAAAATGTTATAAAGTGATGGTTTGACAAAAGGCAGACTGTAATGGCTAGATGACTGTAGCTTTGGGGGGATGCCCCCACACTGAAGCAATTAGCATCTATGTGGTCCAATAATGGAATCTATTTCTCACTTTTATTTTTCGTTTTTCCGCAGGTTTAGAGGTAGACTTCAAAGCTGTTGACTATGCTTCTTTCTCTCTTCTACTCCTATTTTCTTACCTTTAAAACATTTTCCAGACACACACAAGCATACACCACAGTTCTGTGTCCTGTCCTGTTCACACTGGTTTTGATTGAAAAGGTGTCATAAAGCATCACTGTTTCTTACTGCGGGCCACTCTGCTTGCCTGTGTTGCACCTTCCAAAAAGCCATAAAAAACACGTAAGCATTTAGAGTTGAACGTTGGAACAATGGAAGATTACGGCCTGACCTGATAAATCAGGTTGATATCTACGGGAACACAGGCTTTACTATGGGAAGAAAGCAGAGGCAGTGCGATGCTTCGCAGCAGGAGTACAAAGACCAATGGGTCACAGAGGGTTCACAATCAGTTACAGCACATTATAATGTTATACAAGAACACAGCTCACCCTCCCCGCTTTATCGTTTAATCGGTGATTTATTTCTTCCATATAATGTGGCAGTTATAGTTGAGCAAAGCAAGTAGACAGGACATAAAAGCTCAGCTGAAATCCACCCAGTGAAGCTCCTGTCATCATGCTGCGGCCTGCAGCGCTGAAAACAATGCGGGGGATACAAACCAACAAAGACTTCACATACCGTGCTCATGTTTTTTTCCTAAGAAAGCGGATTTCTTGTGTGTTGGGTGTTCTTCATGTGAGCCGCTTTTAAAACATCGCCAGAAACTGGGTTTAATTAACACGTTTCAGGGAGTATTGTTCGTCGTTTTGTTTTCTGGAAGGAGGCTGCCCCGTGTTTCTGTGCAGGACCGGGGCTGCAGCGGCACCTAGCGAGCGGCGGAGCAACTCGACAGACTGGTGAGCGTTAAATGGACAGTACGCTTAAAACCGTCTAACCATGTGGAAACAAACCATTGAGTTCCAACAAAGAGTGATGTAGGTTTCGTTTTACTGCGAAGATAAGTTTCATTACGGAAATCGGACTTTTATTTACTAAAGATAAATTGTAAACCAGGTGTATTTGGACATCACCTTCGCTTATATGCGTCAATCAATCAATCAAATTTCATTTGTATAGCACATTTCAGCAGCAAGGCGTTTACATCATAACAAACACAAAAGCACAAAGTCATGCAACACAGAATAAACAATACATTAAGTCAAGTTCTATCATCACATTTTTAATTGATTACGTTTCGACAGAATATCACACATTTTATACGCGCTGATAACGCCGTTCCCTAATTTGGTCATGGTCAGATCAATCTCTGAACCTATTGCACTGACAGAGAGAAAGAGAGAGAGAGAGAGGGGGAAGAGAGAGAGAGAAAGAGGAAGAGAGAGAGAGAGAGAGAGAGAGAGAGAGGAAGAGAGAGACAGAGAAAAAGACATAAAAATTGACATCATAATGAATCTTATTTTTCAAATGTTTTATTTCTCATCTAAAATCTTTGTATAAATTTGTGATGAAAATAGGAAATATGAAAGCACAACTTAAAATCAAAGTATGGTTCCTGAATGAGGAGCACATCAGGAACTGTGTTCTTTTTTTTTGTTTGTTTTTGTCATTTTAAGATTTTCAGTGTGATTTGAGTCATTTTGCAGTGTAAATGAAATGAAAATGTTTTTTGTGAAACATTCCTACTCTTTATTATTTTCAGAAGTCTTATGTTGGTTTTATGATAGAAAATGATAAAAATATATTGCCATTTTTCTGGCTTTTTAATGTGTGCATATTCACTTGTTAAACTTTTAGATAGACTTAAGTTTTCATTTTTTTTCAATATTTTTTTATCATTATCAAGTTTTATTAATTTTTTTATAAATTTTTCCACTTACGTTTACTTCATGGTGTGTGTTAGTTACCAGTTTAAGCACAATATTTTGTCTATGAATAAACATACTCTTTTTAATCATTTTTTTTTACCTGGCACAAAAATGTTGTTTTGGTTTTTATATTGGAACAGTGCATAACACAATTAATATGACGATAAAGAAGTGAAAAATGACACACTCTATCATGTTATAGAAATGGAAATGCTGTGCAACATCTAATCTAATAAAATGTCTCTTTTTTCTAAAATATATGAAATAAAATAAAAATGCATGCTTTATGTAATAATAATGTATTTTGTGTACATATTAGTATGTGTGTGTATACAATTTCTTACATTCTGTGTTATTGTAAACATTGCTCAGTAAAATTTATTATTTTTCAAATAAATACATTTGCAACAAACTTTAAATATCCAACTTTAGAAGATGTGTTTTCAATTCAAACTGAATTACAGCCTACTGGTGTCACAGTATACTGGTTTACGCTGTGAAGGGCCCAAATGCAGGCAATCGGTTTAAACAGGTAATGAACAAAGGTTTTATTAAATAACAAAATAAGAATTTCAAACAAAGGAATAAATATTTTATATAATAAGATATAGAAGAGCAACTAAAGACCCTGGACATGGACTAATTCAACCTTCAAAGGCCCATCTATGTTGCTGGATGAGTAGGAGGAAAGTTTTCACCACACAATACAGAAAAACATCTTTCCACAAAAATGTGAGGAATTTTTTCCTAGCTGTTTTCTGTACATAAAAATCGTATCAAACGGAACATAAACAATTTAAATGATTCAAAACCTAATACCACTTTGATATTCTCAGACCAAATATTTCCTTAAATGACTGCAATACTTGTCTTACATCATTTTCAATTGTTTTTGTTTTTTTAAACTTTTGTCATTCTCAGAACACAACATAAGAAGTAAGGTGAACTAGTTTGGGCTTAACTCTTAATTTGGCTAAATGTAGTCTTTTATTTTTAGATTTATGCCTGGAAATAAAAGTTTTAAAAGGAGGGGAGACTTTTGTAAGCTTTACATTATGTCATAATGATATCCCCTCATCAAAAACGTACATGTAGTTTTGTCATGTATGTTACGAATCCTTGAATCTCATCAGCAGCAATTATTAGAATGTATATTTCTTTTTATAAAACAACACAACACTACCCTTTTTGTAATCAGCAACTTAAACATCTACAGTTACACCAGCGTCTTATTAGATTTAATCCACTTGCATGCTAAAACATGCAATACTCTGAGACACCCTAAGAAATATTTACAAAAACTGCATACTTTACCAAGATACTTAAGAATAAAATATGTATAATTTAATGTGTGATAATTATGGAATACTTAGACAAAATTTTCAAACACCCATAAACTCAATAAATGTGTAATGAAACCTAACCTTTTGAAGCAATTTTTTTTAGTTAAGTTTCAATAACAACCGCAAAGTTTTTAATAAGTGCCATGCAGAAGTTCCAATTTTAGTTCAAACTCTGAACCAGTACTTAGTGGTGTCCTTAATAAACAATCTTAAGTTAGATCATTTAAAATAATGACAACTGAAGTTGTTTCATCAAATGACAAAAAAAAAAAAAAACGTTTTAACCACTGAAACTATTGTGATGATCCTTCAACAGAACAACTGCTTAAATCAGGGCTCTGACCACAGATGGCTCTCTTTTTGACAATGCTAAGAAAACTTGTAACCACACTGAATTCACAAATTATGGATCTGATCACCTGGCCCCTCGATGCAATTGATCAAATTTTATCAACGAGACGACTGGGCTTCGTTCCGGTGTTCCTATTTTATGAGAGCGACCCGAAGCCTGATAGTGGTCGACAGCGCTACCTAGCGGTGACTTGGATGGAGTACATCTCGTTTTTTTTTTTTTGTTTTTTTTTTCGTTAAGTTTCGTTTTAAAGCCAATCAAGATGACACACGATGTTTTTGGTTCAGTGCCCTAACTTCCTGGTGCTTGATTTTCTGAGAAATGAAAGTTACCGGGCCTGGGCAGAGTGAGGGTGGGGTGATTCGGTGTTGGAGCAAGCCGTTATAAACGAGAGGCTGAAGCAGCATCTCTCTCAGTGTCACAGCAACTGATGACCTTCCACGCGATGTGACTCAGGTACTGTCAATTCATTGCTTTTAGGGTTTATGAGCACAATATAACTGATAGGACAGAACTGCAAGAGATAGAACGTATGCGACACAAATAATAACCTGATATTTGTTTCTATTCATTTTTCCAGGTTTTCCTAGATTTATTTAATTTTCTAACAACATAATTTTCTTAAGACTTGGTTTTAGTTTGTCGGTGACAGAAAAGTTATGACTCGGCTGTAAAGGTCTCAGTTCGGGATGAATCACTAAAAAGTGAAAGGAAATTCATATTCCGACACATTGTTCTTGTGTCGGCTCTGGGAAATAGAGAAGTTTTCTTAAACTGTTTTTTTTTTTTTTTATCATGCTGCGAAAGTAGCTGCACTGACTGTTTAATAAGCTAACCATTTCATACATACACAAACTAAAAGAATAAATACAAAAAGAATGTTTAATTTATCTTCTCATGCTCATGATTATGTTTTTCTCTGTATTTTTAGATATTCATTCTACAAATTAAGAACCTGTTTAATAGTTATTTATTGCTGTGCTGCATTAGCTTGTGTTACAATATTAGTTTTTTTTCACAGCATCCAACTGAAGAAAGATGAGTGGGAAGACCAGACATAAAACCCGGTAAGCTGCCCCTCCTCTTCCTCTGAAGCAAAGCAACTTAGACCCTGATATCTTCACAAGATTTTGAAATTACATATTTTGTTTTGTCAAGTCTAGTCAATTGTACTGCAAGACCAAGGAAACTGTTGATATCAAACTATTTAAAGTCTTGTGAAAATTATGCCACCTGGAGGGCAAATGTGGATCAGTGAATGGAGTAGTTAGTTTGCAATTGAAAATTGTGAGTTTGATTCCATTTTCTTCTTTTGCATATCAATATACTCCTGGCAAGGCACTCGACTCCAAGTTACCTTCATTTACTAAACATAGCTCAACAAACTATTCATAACATTCCTAGGATGACTTTTGCTACATTGAGCTGCTTACCACGTTATAGTAGTGTTAAAATTTAACTAAAACGACAATACTGTTATTTAATGAAATCAATAATATATGTAAATTGTAACATTTGTAGGTGATGTGGAAAAACATCACTTTTGATCACAAAACATAGCAGTATTTGAATTTATTGCTTCAGAGTTTGTTTGTTTTTTGAGAACAAGGAAGTACAAAGTGTTTATGATTGAAAAATGAAGTCATAATTTCTGTAGAAGTACAGATAAAATCAGGAAGTGTAACTTTGATAAACAGCTCACATGAGCTTTCTCTAGACTATACATTTATCCTTAAATATTAAGGACAAACTTAAAGGAAAACACAATGTTCAGCAAGTTGATATGGGTATATGTTCCAGAAAATCTTCATAATATTCACATTTTTAGAACCACATATCATGTTTTGAAACATGCCAACATACATTACAAGATAGGATTTTAGGATGTTCTGGTATGATCTGTATGATGTTGTTTTGTTGCTGTTTAAATATACCTAGTATTGTGACCGTATTAAGCTAATGAAATGTGAAAGACATTTTTGTTGCAATATTTATATTCACATTCTGCTTCGTGTCTTTCCCAAAATGTAGCCTTATTAAGAGTTATGTACAGTGCTCCTTGAAACACATTTTACACACTGATGGTGGAAAGCTACAATGTAGCCACAGATGCCCTGGTGCAGATTGATAAAAGTGTGGCTGCCATTCAATCAGCACTCTGATCACTGCCAGCAGGCAGCTGAAATGTCTTGCGCAAGGACACAATGACTGGAAAGACGGAGTTGGGGAGTTTGCACCGGCAACCCACCGGTTACAGGTTGAACTCCCCCCCAGAGCTACTGCTGGTTATGATTTAGCACAACTCCAATT